ACTTCCTGTTTTGTCAAAACTCTGTTAGTGTAACAGAGGAAGCTGGTATTTTCTAAATGTTCTGGATGTGAGCTGTTCAGCAGATTTTTAATGTCTTGTTGACTTTTCCATCTTTCATAAATGTAGCTGGCAACATGATGCTCAACTCTATCCATTAAAGTCATTATCCAAACAGGCAGTAGGACATTTGACTAATGGGACTAATTTTTCACTCAGCAAACCATGGGAGGAACTATGGAAAGTGTCTATATTGACTTTGTGACTAAGATGTTACATCCCCCTTCACTCAGCAACTGTACAGAGAACTTCCTGCGTGGTCACACTGGCCCTGATTGGCCTTTTCGCGCAGCAACAGGACGTGAACAGACGTATATCAGTCAACTGGAGGCTACCACTCCAAAGCTGTGGAACAATAAACATAACAGAGCAAATGCACTCTCACACACAGACACACACACAGAAGGGGAGACAATGTTGTTTTCCATGGAAACATCTCTTTGCTGTTGCAAGGACTGCTGCATACTTTATGTCACACATGACACAGACCCTGACCACTCTTACAGTGTAAGTAAACATACAGAAATACCATATTAGTGGTTCAGCTCCAGTTGTCTCTGCTTTGCACCTGTAACCACGTGCACATGGTGCATTAATTGTGCTACACTAAAGATGCAAATTTGACCTCTTTTCCACCAACGCTGCACCAGTGCTGGTAAAATGCTAGTTCTTTAATTATGTCTTTCTTTCAGAAGTTGTGGCAAATCATGCTGAACAGAATCTGTGGGCTACATCTGGTTAGTTTCTCATATATCATGTCTTCTAGCCACTGAGGCAAATTGTTTTTTGGTGGAAACACACAAGAGATGGTTCTAGACTGGGAATTGGCATTGTGTCAATCGAATATTTTGTCACAAATTAAATAAATTGTTTTCCATATATTCACCAGATAATCACTAACTTTTGTATTCCAAATTAATCAGCCTACAGACACCAAAGGCCAGTATAGACTAGACAGAGCATAAAGTAGTCATAAGAGTTTAATGGTAGTTCTACATCGTTATAACATTATTAAAAATGAGAAAACCTGTTCCATTTATCAATCAATCTATCAATCAGTCAATCGAATCTTTATTTTGAAAATATGAGTAATGATTGTAAATACATATAACAAAAATAAACATGAAATCGCTGAAAGCCATCCTATTAATGAGGAAATAAAGAAAAGCAAAAGTAAAATGTTACTCCAAAAATGTCTTGTTCAAAAAGCAGAAGGAGGAAGCATATGCTTATCAGTCCCTTCCCCTATTCAGCTCGTCCCAAATATATCTTTGATGATTATACAACCTAATGTATACGCATATGCTATAAATAAATGTGCCTGTCTAATACACATTTTACATTCCAAAATCATCTAAGATGACTTCAAGTATGGCATCACATGTGTCTAATGAATTGTTGTCAACACTGTCTGCCGAATATGAGCCAAGTCCAGAAACACTGGCTCAGGAGACTGTGTAAGGTTCGGGAACTTATTCATTCAGCATTTTCTCACTATGTAAAACAGTCGCACACAGACAGCATTGAGAGGAAATGTGTTTCTCCTCCAACAATAAATACACAGTCGCACAAAAATTTCTGGTAACAGTTAAGGCTGCCCAAACTATGTTAGCAGGCTCATTTTCCACAAACTATTTAATGGCCTGGGAAAAAATGACAACAACAACAACAACAACAACAATAAAAGCCTGTGTCTTTCTGTGTTCCCCATTCTGTTTGGACAAAAGCACAAATATTGGCATGAAATCAAACAGAACAACCATGACAGAGTCTTTGTTTTGTTTGTGTGTTTTTTTACATAGGTCCTTCATTTCATATAGATAACTTTCACACACTTTCACCTGGAGTCAGACTGATGTTTTTATTGTATCAACACCATGACTGTGGTTGGACATTTATTAATATTGGACTCTAAAGTACAGATAATATGGAAATCACATTGATTTTTTTCACCATTACTTAAAAATATAAAACATGTGGTGCATGTTTTGTTTTTTTCTTTGCCTGGAAACCTTCAACATCATTTTAATGTTATGTTTCACTTTGGAAAAACAAAATGTTCAGATCTACAGCTTTGTTATTTGTTTTGTTTTTTATTAAACACATCAGTTTTTTTTGGTATTACAGAATGTTTCTGAACTGCATCACACAGTGTTTGTGTCAAGCAGCATCAGTTGAAGGCCACAGCAAACACAGCACACATCATTCAGACAAAATAAGAAGCAATCAGGGTAAAATGGCCATGACGTTATAATAATATATAATATAATAAGGAGATAAAAGTCATCACACCATTTTCTGGGCAGTTTCAGGAGGCCTGTTGTTGACATCTGTAGCTCTCTCTCCCTCTCTCTCTCTCCATACATATAACTAAACACTGGCATAAAAGAGGGCAGGCATTGTATCCATACTGATACTTGCATTTCTACATTGGCTAACAACTTTTAATTTGGTAGGTTGTTAGCCACAAGCTGTGTTAGCTGCATGCTTTGACTTGACCTCTAGATGCCACTAAATCCTACACTTTGTCCTTCTGAAACATATGCAGGACTGGTGTATTAGCAAGCTTGAAAAGTAACATAACACCGCTCTTTTTTTAAACTCTTCTCACTACTGCAGTGTTGTACAAGTGCATACAGACAGCACTGATGGGTGTGGTTGCAGCTAAACACATTTGGGTATGATTGGACATGTTCTAAGCTTAAAACGTTCAACCAGAAGAGGGCGAATCACTGCTTTTCTGCTGTTAATTGACTTTTTATGGACAGGAACTGAAAAGCACTGCACTCATAGATATTGAATTTTGCATCACAAACAAGTTAATGTTGCTGTAATAGTGTTTATGGGAAAGTCATTGTTTAGGACCACAATACAAATGGCATTTAAAAAAAACATACAAACAACCCTACAGTACATCTGGACAGAGTATAACACAGTGAAATTTACAGACACAAAACATGTTTCCCTTTGGTGATTAACTTTGCATAATATATTTTATATATACATATTGTACACACGTACTTACAAAGGTACACAAAGACTGACACATTAGTAAACAAAGACACTGAAGGTTTAGTTGGTTTGATATAATAACCTAAATTAATACTTAAAAGAAATGTTACAGTGAATTTCAAATATGGAGTGTTGGGTCCAGAGCCATATATTGACAAAATCTGGTCAAGATTTTTATGACATTAAAGTGTGAAAGCTGGACAAATTTAATGCAACACGTTTGCTATGGGGGATTGGTTCCTTAGAATATTTCTCTCATTTTGTCTCAAGTAGAAGTACTGCTAGAGATTTAAAAAAAGCACTGGCACAGGAAGGAAATGACTAATAAAAGTGATGACTGAGGTGCCTCAGGGCACAGTGCTTTATCTCACTGTATATCACAACATAAATTGCCTGATTAATAGGCCAAACATCTGGGCAAAGATACCTGGTGACTTAATGTTAGCTCTGCAGCTGAAATTCCTGAAAAACATCTGGTTTCCTGGAAAACGTTTGACTGTACTTTTGGCAGTGATTCTCACTTTGCTGTCAGTTTTTGGGAGGTTTGTCTATGTATTTTGGCCAAAATGTGTTTTGATTTAAAACATTCAGTTTGCAATTTTTAACAATGTGCATCATAGCATTGCCATGCTGGATTTCAGCTGGCACAAAATTGCAAGTTAATGAGAGCACTTGGAAATATTACACCATTCGAACTGCACTGACTCATAAGTGAGTCAGTTATAAAGGCACCCTAAGGCGGGAAGATAAGAATAGACTTTAATTTGTCATTGCTGTCATAAAAATCAAAATAAGCTACCAATAATACTTTAAATGTAAGCGTCAACTATCTCTCTGACAGAGACACAAAATAAAACATGTTTTGGTTGGATATCTGCTTGCTTCATATCACTGATACCAGTGTTACAGCAAGTAAACATCTATGCTGGTCATTGAGATTTTGTTAAACAACTGCAGCATTTGCTAAGGCTTAATGCATTTCTGTGTCTGTGGGGTTTTAGTTCAAGAATTCTCTAAACAATTAATTCAAATTCTTTATTTTTTTGTTTAAAAAATGTGTTTTTTCTAATGGAGGTGAAAAACTTAAAAACTAAACTAAACTGAAGAGCACTGCTTTTGGCTAACTTTCACTGTGTACCACTGACAATTTACAAACTGCCTTAAAAGTGTACACCTTTGAAGAATTTGACACAACAAACTCCACAGTTTGCTGCTAATCAAGGTTATGTTGTGAGTCATTAGCCATCACAACAGCATAGTCATAGCATTGTTGTGCCTAGAGCCCTGCCTGACACAGTGGCTAGCATGGCTACACCAGAAGTGAGGTAGGTAAATGCTCACGTATCATCGTTAGTTCATGAAAGCTGGTAAAAATAGAGTGGGAGAAGGGTTTTGAGTCAAAAGGTTTGATTTTCTTTTTTAATTTTAAGTTGTTCTGTTAAATAACCCATTCTCAAGGTACCACAAAGCAATTTGGTACTAACTCAGGCGATACTTTCACATTCACTTCCACAATTCCCCCTTTTCCCTCCCGAGGTCAGCATCAGGGGACCAAGGAAAACACTGAGAGACAGTCTGCTCAGCACATTTGGTGTCATAATATGAAGACTCTGAAAGTGCACCAAACATGACTCTCATCCTGCCTTCACATAACTGTCCTCCTCTTACTCTTTTCCCTGGAACAGCCTGCCTTTAAATCCTTAGAGGGAGTAAACAATCCAGGATTTGTAGCAAACATTGGATCCTTACTTTATTTAAACTGAATGGAAGCAAAAACCTGATTTAATGGATTCACAAGAGCGTGTTCATAAAAGAGGATAGGTAGAATAGAATGAAAAAAACAAACAAACCTGGTTGTACTTTGTAACTTACTTGTTGCTAAACAATAGATGACAACTCTACAGCAGAAAATGATAATGTTTGAGGTTATTAAAATACTGTGTTGAATTCATGGATGAAACAGTGTCACAGGGTTTTGGTAGATTGCAAAACATGGAAAACAAGTGAATATAGGCAGGATTTCACTTTGGATGACATCTTTTGAAATATATATAACATTGGTAACAATATCCTGCTTTGAGCCTACACCACATCCATTTAAAGTTAAAGCTTCTGCCCGACAAATGGAGATGAAAATCAAAAACACTATGTTGTAAATCTGGGATCAGGTGAGTCAGCAACCAACAATAACATAAATGTAGGGTGTTAAGTTTGATACTTTTCATAATGATGGGGCTCTAGATGAGAAATAGTACAAACCTACCAGGCATAAAGTTAGGAAGATTGGATAAAGAGGATGGACTATACTGGCAATACTCTACTTCACAGATTTTAAATAGTTCATATCATCTTTACCTGTGACGACACATTTAACACAAATGGAAATTAACAAACAAAATAATAACAGCCTATCAGAGTTCTCTTCAGCTCTGTCTTCAGAAAGCTTGAGTCTTTTCAGCTTTCATTCTAGTTGCCATATTCTTCTTCACATACACTCATTTACCTTCTCTCAGTCTGTATCTCCTGTAGAGAATAATCCCTTCAAGATGGATTCATATCCAAGACACTGGGCTTTTTCTTTTTTCTTTCTTTTTTTTATACCACCGAATGTTCATTGTGGTGGTGATGGTGGTGCATGGTGCTGCCAGTCAGCACCGTGTGATTGATGGAAGATGCAGATCGGTCGGATCCCTCTGCTGCCGTCCCATTCACATTCTCCTGCCTCTGGCAGCACAAGATCTGCCTGAAGGTTGCGCTCATCTCCTTGTCACGGTAGGAGTAGATGATGGGATTCATGGCAGAGTTGAACTCGGCGAGTAGCAGGAAGAACTTTTCGTAGGTCAAGACATTGCAGCTAGCGCAGAAAACATCAAGGAGGAGGATGACCAAACCAGGGGTCCAGCAAACGATGAACGCACCTAAAAAAACACAAATTGTACATATTAGTTGAGGTAATTGACACGCCCATCAGAAAATCGAAGCCTACTCCATCCTTTCATACACTGCGCTACATAAATGGTAACTGGACTGGTACTGTTCTTAATTAATAATGCTTTTCTACTCAATCAGAGTATTCAAAGCACTCTTTTTTATATAAGCCTCATTCATTCATTAACACACATTCATATAAGTCCTTTCTTTCTATTTCACTTTTACATTAAAATTCATACACTCACACTTTGATGCATCAGTGGATACTTGGGGTTCAGTATTTTGCCCAAGGGTACTTCGACATAAAGGTTGGGGGAGCTAGGGATTGAACCACCCACTAACTCCGGAGTAACAGCCACCTCGTAATGGAATATAAACCTTAAAAGTAATCCACATCATAACTGTTTCTATTTTAAAATTGTCATAAGTATAATACTTACATACTTGGAGCTAACGTGTAATTTTGTGATATGTATGAAAGAAACCTTTTTGCCTTAGACTGAACAATTCAATACTATTTATTTTATTTACTCGTCTCTTCACATGAATCAAGCTGACTTCTTCCATTTTCTGGAAGTGGGTCACGTCAACTGAGTGTTTAGTTCCACAGATGATGACACTAAGATTCATCATATGATGACACCATGAATTTACAAAGTAATTTGTGTTTGTTTTAGGATTTTAAAATTGTAGCACATAGCAGTTTTTGATCGAAGTATGCAAGATTCATGTAAGTAACGGTCATGACTCATGAGCAACATTTGGGAACTGATTACTTGGTTTGGGCTTTTGCTAACTTACACTTGAATAATAATGAGTCAGTACAGGCAACTTGGAAATGGGTCCTTTTGGTGCTACATTAGAATTCATCCTACCACCTCTCATAATTCTAACAAAACACTATCAATCCACTAACAATGCAACATCCTGTGTTTGAATCAGATAGATATTTCCTTTTCCAATCACAGGGCCAGGGACCCCATTAAATTTGACGCATTGGTTGCTTTTAGACCACCATTGAGGTCATCACACATCTATTTCTGCTGTTAATGTGGCGATATCAACTACATTATTTCCAAGAGTTATAGGTGTTGCCACTTATGCAAACCCTAATCATTAGTGCTGGTATAGCAGAAGAAGCTTTTGTCACAAAGTCCTGTTTTTTGTTTTTTTTATACTGTCGTAACATCTCCCTCACTGCTTCTATACTGATATCAATACAATGGTGGTAAAAACCAGCGCAGTCACACATTCGTTTCCCTCTACAAACTGGCAGCAGCAGTGGCTGAGCATGGAAGGTTACAAAAACTGAGAGGTGCGCAACCCTATGACACTGTTTTTGTCGTACAGTGCCATTCGCGAAGTATAATAGTCCTCTAACACAGTACACTCTCTCACAAGCAAATGAGGCCCCAGCTCACTAGGAGGTTTGAACCAGATACCTCCTTAATGTGAGGCAACAGTGGTAGACACTGTACTATGGCGTTGTTTTAGTGCCTCTCTATAATGAGCACACGTAACCCTCACTGATAGCCTTCCTGTCCTTTTTCTCAAATGTTTTTTGTGTATCTGTTGAAACAAATAACAATCACTCTACAACCACATTAGCATCACTTATGAAGCACACCACCATTAGTCAAGAAAACAAAGTACCAATATCTCTTTATGACCAAATGTAAGTAAAGAAAGGTTAATAAGGTCAAAAACCTCATTAAAAATTGATGAAAAATAACTTAGATTTAAGGGATTTGAATGACTGTGATAAATATTAAATATAAATAATAAATCAGCTATGCACTTTGTTCATTAAAGTGGACTCTTCCCCGAGTAGATGAAATATGTTAGCGCAGTGGAAAGGGTCACTGACATTACTCGTGCATGTCAAGTGCTGTGAATTCAGTCATCAGACAATATTTGTCCTAACTATACGACAACTATAGGACTTTCCACTTGGTAAAACAAAAAGTCTTGATGAGAAATGAGCAGAGTTGACAGAGAGAGAGCGAGAGCAAAAGCGAGAGAGTATTGACAGGAAGGTCTGTTATCTGTTAGTGTTGTGCAGGCGGCAGCTGCAGCGGAGCTTGACCTCATTTCCTAACTATGCAAGCGGACTCTCCAGAGTTGGATAAATTTCTCAAGCAGTTCATTGCCCAGCAGAGAAACTATTTCAACTATTTGTCTCTCAGTGAAACATCTTACTCGGAGCAGGACCAGACTCAGCACAAAAAATGCTCAGAGGAAGCATTTAGAATTTCCAGTCTGAAAAACAGGAGAATAAAAAAACCTTGACTCTAACATTATGACTGCGACTGTATTTTCTGTTTTTACTGTCTTACTGTGTCAGTGTTGATGTAAACATTTATTAGGCATCCAATCTATCTTAACCACAATCCACAATATGTTACTGTCGTAGTAGGGCAAAATCCATCAAAATAATAAATGAAAAAATCTGATCACGTCCAGTGAAAAATATATAATAAAACACTATATGTGCATATATGTAAAGAAAATTTGTTTTATTTCCACTCAAAATGAGAAAGGAATGCCGTTTTGTGATTTTATGGCCTTCGAGGTTAACCCTCAAATTCTTTAATTTCCTTCCTGAATCCTAGAGTATATAATTACCTTCATTACTTATATTTATTGCAGAATTTCCTCTTTACCCCAAAAGAATATGGCTGGTTTACCATAGCCACAGTGTACAGTGTTACTACCATGCCAGGTTTACAGAGGGTAAACCAGAGTTTTGTTTATGGAAGCAACATGTGATTCTTTTTTCTTCTTTCTTTTTTTTTGCCCTGTCACTACTTAAAAATGCCACATGGAGGGAAAAGAGGCTGGAGAATGGAAAGTCACTGGAAGAAGGTAAATAAACACAGCTCTGAAGCAGGCCTGGAAAGTGTATGGAAACGTAGGAAAACTACTTTGGCACGCTCATTGTCTTATAAAAATAAGTAAGTACATAGAAATGTGTTAAGATGTGTGTGGCTATTGCAATGACAAACTACTATTGCAACAGTTTCATAAATGACACATTTTCCTATTAGTTTGTTAATGGCTCATGTGTCACTTGAATGCAGTAAATAAACCTTTAAAGGAATCGTTTTGCTGTCAAACCTGATAAAGAGCTTTAGGGGAGACATTTTTAGTTTGTGGAATGATTCTCAAGATTTACGTAACTCAAAGCAATTATTAGAAACAGCAGCGCACAATGGATTAACTGTGCCATTGCTCATGAACAACATATTAAAAATGTATTGCTTCAAGGGGGTTTATAAAGACTGATCTGCAATTTTACTTCAACTGACTCTCAACACAAATATCTAATTAGCCAATCAAATGTCTTAAGGCATTTAGACATACAGACATGAGAACTAGCTAAACTTCAAACTGAGAAAGAAAGGTGATTTAAGAGAATTTGAACATGACATGGTTGTTGCCAGATGGGCCTGCACTCCCATAAATACAGTTTCTGAAATACTGGCCTGGTCTGAGTATTTATGAAACTGCTGCTCTACTGGGACTTTCCCACACAACCATCTTCAGGGTTTATAGGGAATGGTCTGAAAAAGAGAAAATACCCATGGAGTGTCAGTTCTCTGGGCAAAAATATTTCACTGATGGCAGAGGTCAGAAGAGAATGGCCAGACTGCTTTGAGCAAAATAATCACATATTAGAACCCAGGTATACAGAAGAGCACCTCAGGATGCAAAACATGGCGAACTTAGAAGCCTGTCAACTAAGACGAGGAAACTGATGCTACAATTCACACACATTCACCAAAATTGGACACCAAAGGATTGGAAGAACGTTGTCTGGTCCAATGAGTATTGTTGAGGTTTAACCTGTTAGCAGTCGGACGTACCGCCCACGGTACATTGGATGGTTTAGGGGACTAATTGGACTGCTAAGGGGTTAAATTTATCATCTCAAATGTTTATATGCTGATTACATTGCTTTATATAAGAAAGGCCTAACTCTGAGTACACTCTGTGCCAAAAGTCCTGACAGGAAACTGCATGCTTTTGCAGCTAGAATCAAGTGAAAGTGAAACCAATTAGGCTGTTCGATGCACACTAGAGAGCAAGTATATAAATACATAGGCTTCTGTTTGTGCTTCAGACCTTGGGGTGTGTGTTGTGTGCAAAGGTCTCCATATCCAGGATATGTTAATTAAAGTTCATTTTTAAAGTAAAAAGACTACTTTGAGCCTTGTCCTTTTGGCCATAAAGAATCCGAAAGAACCGAATTTAATAGTATCAATTTCTGAAGGCATTTAGACAGTGAGGTCAGAATGTGGAGTAAACAACATCCATCTATGGGTAATATCAACACTTCAGGCTGATGCTGGTGATATTATAATGTGGAGACTGTTTTCTTGGCACATTTTGGACCCAGTAGGACCAAATGGACATTATCTAAGCACCACAGCCTACCTCAGTATTCTTGCTGACCTTATCTATGCATTTGTGACCACAATATACAAATCTCCTGATTTCTGCTTCCAGCAAGATAACACACCATGTCACCAATCTCTCACTATCTCAAACTGGTTTCTTGAACATGACAGTTCGAATGGGCTCCACTATCACCAGACCCCAATCCAAAGGAGCACCATTTGGATGTGGTGGAATGGGAGATATGCTTCATGGATGTGAAGCTGACAAATAAGCAGCAACTGTGTGATGCTGTCACATGAATGTAGAACAAAATCTCTGAGGAATGCTTCAGTCGTCTTGTTGAATCTATGCCACCAATTAATTCGGTACTAAGGGGAAAAGGGAATCCACCCTCGTACGTCCTAGGTGAGCCTAATAAAGTACAGTTATGTATGAGAGGTTGTTCCTGTACACTCTCTAACTATGCAGTTTCTCAGATTATCATTTAGTTACTTAAAAGAAACTTTGCATGATGCATTTGTATAAATGTTTACTTAGGACTATCCTATCCTATAGTATGAACTGCTAATATTAATATGTATTGCTT